CAAGGGTCCCTGGTCTCTGATAGTTCCATTTAGGTCTTTGAGAGCCCGGGCCTGCCCATCATAGGCGCCTCATGCTATCTTCTTATTCTCTGCCGATCTCGGAGGGCCCCTGTCGATCTGTTTGGCCCGTGCATGTTTTTAAAGGGACCCTCCCACCTTAACATTTGTTTTGAGTTGAGATAGCCAAATTGGTGGCCATGGCCTGAAAATACCGGTTTGGGCACTCACAACATCGAAAAATGCTTTAATTCGGAGATATGGAATTTCAAACTTGCAGTTTTCGGATTCTAAGGGGCTAATGCATTGGTATGCCCCCTTAGAATTTGTGACGTCAGCGGAGGTCTAACGATTTTTAAATCTTTTACTAAAACGTTTGGTAGCACGCGGTGGTATATGCTGCTTTGCGCGCAACAAATGCCGCACTTTCAAATAAAGTCGCTAGGAACAGCGGAGATCCCAGAAAGTAAACAATAGTAAAAGTCTAATATCTTGAAAACCGGTGAATATTTTTCGATGAAATTTGGTAGATATTCGTTTTCGCTCTTCCTGAACCGAGCGACATCACTTTCATGCCAATTCATTAACTTTTTTGAAGGTGGGAGGGTCCCTTTAACCCTCGCCCGCACATGGGGGGTTGGTTGCCACCCCCCCCCCCCCAGGTAGTCTTTCTGCTCTGCACTCGACATTTTTAGAGCTAGAAGGCTGATTTTTCGTATAGCTGCTCCTCTATCCTTTCTTGATGTGCACTGAAAATTTCAAGTTTCTGTGACCTTTGGTTTCGGAGATATGACCTTGTTTTTCAGGTCATGTCATGACCCAAATGGCCAATTCTCGACATCTTGCGTTGGCTATGGGCCTTGTGAGCTTTTGACACCTTGATTTCGGCCTTTTTTACCAGTCTTACCTCCCACCCATCATGGAACATGTTGTTCGACGATGTGCAGATGTCAAGGTCAAGGTCAAGGTCAACCTAGGTCATCTAAGATAATTGCGTTTTAGGCAAGCGGAATTTACTTTTTGTGAATTTTTTTGACTGCATTTTTGGTAAAAGCTTCTCAGATCATGATTTCATGTAATATGGACACATAAACAATCGGTGCACACATCAGTATACACACAGACACACACAGACATACAAACACATATAATTGACCTTGACCTTACTTGACCTGAAATGACCTCAGCAGCAAAAACCTGGTCGGGTAGTGTGAGAAAGAGGTTCTAGCTGGCTTGGCACCAGAAAACAGCATCGTTATCGGTATATGATAAGCAGCGCACTTGATATCCAACGGTGACCCAAAACAGCAACATTTTTTAGTTTGACCTGACCTGGAAGGTCAATTACTGACCTGAGAAGGTAAAACTGGGTATCATTGGGTTCGTCTCTTCCCAAAGAATCTTTTTGGTCTTTACCGCTAAGCTCTATCTCCAACAGGAACGAAATGGCGCGGGGGGGGGGGTGGCAACCACCCCCCCCCCCATGTGCGTTCTAGGATGGGAAAATGGCATGTGCGGGCGAGGGTTAAGGGCCGCTGCTAGTCTCTGAGAGCCCCATGTCGTTAGTTGTGTCTATTTTGGGTCGCATTGGCACCACACATGTCTCTTAGGGCCCATACCAGTCAAGGGGTCCCACATTGACCTCTCAAGGACCAACGCTGGCCTCAAGGGCTCACACCACCTTGGAGGTTCCGAACTGGCCTTTGACGACCCCGCACTGGCCTTTGATGACCCCGGGCCCGCACTGGCCTCTGATGGCTCAGGCAGGTCTCGTAAGACCCACGCTGGAGTTCAAAGACCCATACTACTGTGCGAGGTCTCATCCGGTTTATGAGGGTCAATCTCAATACTGGCCTTAAATGATCTTACGCCGGGCTTATATGTATATAAGGGTCTCATACTGGTTTCAGAAGTTTTCCGCTACTTACGAAAAACTTCAGGGGGAGGGGGCGGATATTCGCCCCCCCCCCCCTCCGCGGTACGCGGGTTAAGCTAACACACCGCCCCCAGCGAGGGTCTACAGGGGCCCCTTTGCCAATTCGCCCCCCCCCCCCCCAACGCCAAGTTTACGACCGTACCTGGTGGCGCCCACTTCCGGACTATTGCGCCCCTCGGAACCGCTTTGGGCGCCCTTTCAGAGCTGTGCAACCCCAATAAAAAACAAAAAAATCCACCCCTGGATGCAGCTCATCACGGCGAGTCTAATGGTGGTCTTTGTTTTGCTCTACGTGGTCTATAATTGCTAAAAATTGAGTTTGAAAATTTGACGTCATCAATTTTGAAGTTTTTTTTTCGCTATAGCTTGGCGAAAAAGAGAGGTATCGATCTATACTTTAGTATGTGAATAGAAGTCGGTAAGGGCTATCACATATATTCCGTTTTTTCGAAAGTCGAAAATCTTGTTGGATTTTTTGGTAATTATATTCAAAAAATATATTTTTTTTTTTGGGGGGGGGGGTCAAAATAAAAAAAACTTCGAGATACCTAGTCATTTTGCAGTCCTGGTAATTCTACATCTTTTATGTCTTAGACGTTTTTCTGTAGCTTCAACGCTATAGGCCTACAGCTCTTCCCGCGAAACATTTTTTTTTTGGGTCGAAAACGGCAGAACATGACGTCATTTGCGGCCAACCTATCATAGCCTTTGGAAAAAATTGGTCACAATGTGTAAAATTGATGCCCGGGAGGGTACTGAAAGTTTGGTGACGATCAGCGCAGCGGTTCTGGAGATATATCGAAAAGTCTGGGGGGGGGAGGGCAAAAATAGCCCCCCACCAGGGCGCGGGTTAAGAAAAAGTCCGAGACACAAAGTTGCGAGACTCCTAATGGATACTATAGACATACAAATAAAAAATGAGACTTTTTTGCTTGCGTTATTTCTCCGCATGAAAAGCTCGTGCAACCGCAAATCTTGCATGTGTGGATGCGCGTGATTGTTGTTTTTTTATGACATGGAATTAAAAAAATATCAGTGCAGCCATGCCACCCTTTGATGCAATATCATGTGGCCTACGTCGAAAGGTCGTTGGACAATTCTATATGGAGAACTGGAGTAAGGGCAAAGCTTTTACATACAAACACTTCAAAAACATGCACGTTCCTAAATCAACACTATACAGGATCATGCGACAGTGTGATGAAGGTGTGCCATTGTCGCGGAAGAGCGGGAGTGGTCGTCCTGCAAAGAAAATGCCCCCTGCAAAATGTCAACGTCTCCAGACAGACATGAAGGAAAAAATAGGGGCGTCACAGCCACGTGCCGCAAGAAAATACGGTATCAGCCAGCAATATGTGTCATGGATACTCAAGGGTAAAACATCACTAAAGTACCGAAAGCGACAGACCGTTCCGGACGTTACTGAAAAGCAGAAAAAACGCCAGAAGACGGCTTGCACTATCCTTCGAAAGACTGCAATGAAACCTAGTGGAAAAACGGTTATTATCATGGACGATGAGACGTATTTTTCATTAAAAAACAACAGCTGCGTTGCCAATAAGGGCTTCTATACAAGCGATAAGAAGAACACGCCCTCCGCAGTCCGGTTTGCGAAGAAAGGCAAGTTCCCCAAAAAAGTGATGCTCTGGCTGGCCATCTCAAGCGAAGGAATGAGTGAACCAGTATTCGTAGAAGGAAATGCCATGAACGGAGATTTCTACGAAAAGAACTGCATACCTATTGTGAAGAAGTTCATAACAACCCACCATCGTGGAAAAAAGGTCATATTTTGGCCTGACCTCGCCACGGCTCACTATAAGACGTCAGTCACCAAGAAGCTGAAGGAGCTCAAAATTCCAACGGTTGCACGTGCCCATAACCCACCAGCAGCGCCTCAGATCCGGCCAATTGAGAGGCTCTGGAGCCACCTGAAGCAGGCTGTGTACGAAGGCGACTGGGAGGCTGAGACAGCAGGTGCCCTGAAGCGACGGATCCGCGCCAAGCTGAAGAAGCTCGACCTGAACATCGTCCAGAACCTCATGAGAGGTGTCAAGACCAAGGTGCGTCGCGTCTCGGACGGCGGTCACGAAACGCTTCTTCGTCTCTGAGGCTGACACGCAAAGCTTCGGTGCTTCGAACAAGGCTATTACGGATGAGACACGGCTTCAGAATGCTGAAATATACGCTTTTTAAAAAAGTCTCATTTTTTATTTGTAACCCGTTAAGTCCTGCAAGTTTCATTTCCCTGTGAAGGCTCCTCTGGCAGTGAGGGCGTTGTGAAGTTGCGACATCTGAAGACCATGCAGAGGTTCACTTATGACGTCATAGGTCAGTGACCTGAACTGACCCGAAAATACCTGACCCGAAAATACGGTTGGTGTCAGAAGATCCGGCTTGAATCAAAGGTCAGGTATCCCAAGTGTCAGCTCTCTATCTCCAGCATGTTCGGAGCTATCGCGAAAAAATATGTGTGTGTGGGGGGGGGGGGGGGGGGGAGGGCGGCACCCGCCTCGGCCGGCGAGGGTTAAATCAAAACTGGGGAAAATATTTTCACACATTCCTCAATCACTTTTCTACCAGGTTAAAAAAAGTCAAAATCGGTCACTGTAAGCAATACACGGCAAAAGTATATAAAAAGACACGCTCCGCCGATAGCACTAAAATGGCATGCTAAAATGGCGCCAAAGCCCTCGCCGTCGTGGTCGGCGAGCGATGGGGGTGGTCTGAAAATCGGCGGAGTGTCCCATCCGGGAATACCTAATCCATGCGAGGGCCTGTTTCACGGCACGACGCTAGGTACAGCACACTACATTGAAACGGGGCCTAGATAGTCGGCCACTGAGCCAGGAAGAAAGTGCTGTTCGAGTGTTTGCCGGGGGTAGATTGGCCCTCTATCAGCCAGCTTGAGGCGGGGGCTATCGGCCACTGTAGGCAGGTGCTTCACGGGGAAAGTCCTGCACGCTGTGAGCGGCTCACACTATCAGTTCCCGAACAGAGCATCGAAACCCCGGCCGAGTGCACAGACGAAACGCCCCCACATGGCTAAACGCCAACCAAACACCGCACATATGTTTCGGAAACTTGTATTCTCGCAAGCGCCGGGTTTACTACAAAATGCGAGCCGGATCGATTCTCCTTCACTGTTGACCGATGCAATGAGGCGGCGTGGCCGCGAGGGCAGCGGCTGGCCGCCGGGGATGAGGGTGCCACACTCGCACGCAGAGACACACGAGGAATGCTTGGCTCGTCTCTGGTGCGGGTGGCGGCGTGTCGGGCCGCTCGCCGCGGCTCCGCTCAGTATTGGCCGTCGCTGTTCTCGCGCACACTGCCGGCAGACGGGGCGGCAGGAGTGTCAGCTTTCAGGAGCGGCTGGGGAGGGCGTCGGGGGCAGCCAGGGAGTGCCAGGGGTACGGGGAGGCTGGGGAGGGTGTCAGGGGCGGCTGGGGACGGTGCCTGGGGCGGCTGAAGTGGTCATTAGTGGGCGATTTAGCGACTGTTATAGGAAATGCCAATCAAAGCTTTAGATTGCAACGGTAGCCGACGTCGAACAGTACTTCAACATCATTTGTGCGCGGGCTGGGCGATCTTGTCATACATTTCTATCATATAGATACGTAGGTGGGGATCAGACACATTATCACTTTCGTGGTGTGTCATACATGTCACGAGTTCCTTGAGTAGGTATATCTACCACATGAAATGCATTCTCGATAGCACATTAAGTCTCACTTGAACCCTGCAAACATTCACACTGAATCAAAGGATACAGGCGTCAGGCATAATAATCATCTACCACATATCTCGACACGTCGGTTCTTATCACGACCTCAGAAGACCACACTCGTATATGGAAAACTGCCAAAAGCAAAACACGCTGGAAAGTGTTAGAAGGCCATGCAAGCAAGCACGCTCGCGCTTTCATCAATACCAAACACTGATACATATGAAACATCAGCTTCGGCACTATCTTGCAGCCTACATGCTAAATCCTTGTTAATAATAATAAGCACACTCTAAGCCAGCTGCAACTATCAGTCGCTGATATCGTTTACCGCATCATCGCACACAAGTGCTGAGGTGGCGGTCAAAAGTCGTCCGATCGCCGCCACACGATAGCCGTCTGCGGCGCACCAGTCCCAGCGCTGAGGAGGCCCTTTCGGCGGGCGTCCGACGCACTCCAAAGGTCGGACGGGGATGGCCCGCCCAGCCGTAGGAGATTAGTGATTTCTTGTTACTCATGGTCGAACAACAAAATCACTAGTCTTCCAGACGGCTGGGCGGTGTCAGCGGCAGACGCGGTTAGACGGCCGGGCGGTGTTAGCGGCAGACGCGGTTAGACGGCCGGGCGGTGTTGGCGGCAGAGGCGGTTAGACGGCCGGGCGGTGTTGGCGGCAGACGCGGTTAGACGGCCGGGCGGTGTTGGCGGCAGAGGCGGTTAGACGGCCGGGCGGTGTTGGCGGCAGACGCGGTTAGACGGCCGGGCGGTGTTGGCGGCAGAGGCGGTTAGACGGCCGGGCGGTGTTGGCGGCAGACGCGGTTAGACGGCCGGGCGGTGTTGGCGGCAGAGGCGGTTAGACGGCCGGGCGGTGTTAGCGGCAGACGCGGTTAGACGGCCGGGCGGTGTTGGCGGCAGAGGCGGTTAGACGGCCGGGCGGTGTTGGCGGCAGACGCGGTTAGACGGCCGGGCGGTGTTGGCGGCAGAGGCGGTTAGACGGCCGGGCGGTGTTAGCGGCAGACGCGGTTAGACGGCCGGGCGGTGTTGGCGGCAGAGGCGGTTAGACGGCCGGGCGGTGTTGGCGGCAGACGCGGTTAGACGGCCGGGCGGTGTTGGCGGCAGACGCGGTTAGACGGCCGGGCGGTGTTGGCGGCAGAGGCGGTTAGACGGCCGGGCGGTGTTGGCGGCAGAGGCGGTTAGACGGCCGGGCGGTGTTGGCGGCAGAGGCGGTTAGACGGCCGGGCGGTGTTAGCGGCAGACGCGGTTAGACAGCCGGGCGGTGTTGGCGGCAGAGGCGGTTAGACGGCCGGGCGGTGTTGGCGGCAGACGCGGTTAGACGGCCGGGCGGTGTTGGCGGCAGAGGCGGTTAGACGGCCGGGCGGTGTTGGCGGCAGACGCGGTTAGACGGCCGGGCGGTGTTGGCGGCAGAGGCGGTTAGACGGCCGGGCGGTGTTGGCGGCAGACGCGGTTAGACGGCCGGGCGGTGTTGGCGGCAGAGGCGGTTAGACGGCCGGGCGGTGTTGGCGGCAGACGCGGTTAGACGGCCGGGCGGTGTTGGCGGCAGAGGCGGTTAGACGGCCGGGCGGTGTTAGCGGCAGACGCGGTTAGACGGCCGGGCGGTGTTGGCGGCAGAGGCGGTTAGACGGCCGGGCGGTGTTGGCGGCAGACGCGGTTAGACGGCCGGGCGGTGTTAGCGGCAGACGCGGTTAGACGGCCGGGCGGTGTTGGCGGCAGACGCGGTTAGACGGCCGGGCGGTGTTGGCGGCAGACGCGGTTAGACGGCCGGGCGGTGTTGGCGGCAGAGGCGGTTAGACGGCCGGGCGGTGTTGGCGGCAGAGGCGGTTAGACGGCCGGGCGGTGTTGGCGGCAGAGGCGGTTAGACGGCCGGGCGGTGTTGGCGGCAGAGGCGGTTAGACGGCCGGGCGGTGTTGGCGGCAGAGGCGGTTAGACGGCCGGGCGGTGTTGGCGGCAGAGGCGGTTAGACGGCCGGGCGGTGTTGGCGGCAGAGGCGGTTAGACGGCCGGGCGGTGTTGGCGGCAGAGGCGGTTAGTGGTCGCGGCCGTGCCCAGCCACCACCGAGGGGCAGTAATTAGGGGCCGGCGCGCCAGTCCGCACGTTACGGGGTAGCCGGGACGTCCCGCCAGTCAGCGTTTATCGCAGCTTCGTGGGTACACAGTAGGGTTGTTAAAAAACCAAATTTTGGAAAAGTATCCGGGCTCATGGCTCATGTGGTGCGCTATTCTTTTCTGAGTCCAATGACGCCCTTTTTCCGAGAAGTATTAACTGCTAGGTGCTCCTCAAACGGCTTAAAGAGGACCATGTTACGCCCGCCGACCGGCCGCTGTCAATACGGGCGAGAATTTGACGCCGCGCGCGGGCGGCAGCGCCTTTTCGGCACCGCGCGCCACGACATCTGCCGGGCGGCCGGCTGGACGGTGGGAACTTATAGATGCGTGGTCTTTATCACGCGATCGGGGTGTGCTATCCCATGTTTTCGGGGCGGAAAGTTTCAGTGCAGCATCGGTGCGTCTGCCGCGGTGGTCTGTGTCGATGGTACAAAAAATAAGTCAAACAGAGCTCAGAAAAGACTGCATGATTCCGGGTAGTTGCCTCGAAACAATCCGTTTTAAGAATACAGCTGCCTTCTTAACGTACCGCATCATTTGTTAATTCTTCAAAAAGCAGACTCTGAGCAATAACACACCTCTTTGCATTGCTGTTGACAGTTTACGTTACTTTTGGACGGTGGCTCGCAGCCCCAATATGCTGCCGCGCAACTTTAATCTAACGGCGAAACGGCAACTTCGCGAGAATCGAAAATTCACGATTTACGTACAGCAGGACCTGGCAATGCACAAGGACAGAATGTGGAGACCCGACTGAGTCATCGGCCCAAGTTTGGGGGTGGCTTTGACGAGCATGGGCGTCACCAATGTCATTATGCAGATACGATGATGTCAAATGCTGACGCAACAGAATCGACGCCAGGTTTAACTTAGATTAGCAGGTCGAAAGAAAACATAACATATCCGGGAATGAGTGGCCACCCTGACAGTGTGACGAAGTGAGACATGAGTAGAGACAATAGCCGGAGTACCTACTCATATAAATCAAGCGCCGTTTATCCAACCCTTCGAGCAGAAGCGGCGCCGGCAGCTCGGCCCGGGCGGCCGTGCCCATCGATGCCGAACAAGACCCAAATCCAAACCCGGCATAGAACACGGCTCTGCCCCGACGTGACACATTATCCCGGCGTGTCACTCATGACGGATAGACCAATGCAGGAGCCTTGCCAGTTCCTGTTGTACCTTCTTCATAAATTTTCGATTCTCGCGAAGTTGCTGTTTCGCCGTTGGAATAAAGTTGCGCGGCAGCATATTGGGGCTGCGAGCCAACGTCCGAAAGCAACTTAAATTGTCAACAGCAATGCAAAGAGGTCTGTTACTGCTTAGAGCTTGCTTTTTGAAGATTTAACAAGTGATACAGTACGTTAAAAAGGCAGCTGTATTCTTGAAACGGGTTGTTTCGAGGCAACTACCCGGAATCATGCAGTCTTTTCTGAGCTCTGTTTGACTTATTTTTTTGTACCATCGACACAGACCACCGCGGCAGACGCACCGATGCTGCACTGAAACTTTCCGCCCCGAAAACATGGGATAGCACACCCCGATCGCGTGATAAAGACCACGCATCTATAACTTCCTACCGTCCAGCCGGCCGCCCGGCAGATGTCGTGGCGCGCGGTGCCGATAAGGCGCTGCCGCCCGCGCGCGGCGTCAAATCCTCGCCCGTATTGACAGCGGCCGGTCGGCGGGCGTAACATGGTCCTCTTTAACCCGCGCCCCACTGGGGGGGGGGGGGCTATTTATAGCCCCCCTCCCGTTTTTCTGCAATAACTTCCAAACCGCTTGACGTATCGACGCCAAACTTTCAGGACCTTCGGCTGCATCAATTGGACACCTTGTGTCAAAATTTGAACTTCGTAGCTACCATAGGTCGGCCGGAAATGACGTCAGAGTGACGTCATGTTCGGCCGATTTCGACGCAAATCATTGAACCACGGCAATCGCTCCCAAGGGCTTAGTTTTTAAGCTAGATCCAATTTCTTTGCATGGGAGGACTCAGAATAAACTGCGCTATCAAACTGCTATCTCGGATTTTCAAAATTTTGAAAATTTCAAAAATTTTATATAATAAAATTCAAAATTTACATTTTTACATTTTTTTCAAAAAGTTTTTGACTTTTCGAAAAAACCGGAATATATGTGATATAACGCGTTATTATGAATAACTCTAGCGAGTTTTAGCTGAATATCTTCAAAAATGGCCAAGTTATACGCATTATTGCAAAAAAATTCACAATTATTAATTTTCAAATCAATTTTTCACCATGTATTTGACATCGTACGCCAATATAAATAGCACCATCGTGTTTCTGAGCTCAAACTGCATCTAATGGACACCTTTTTTGTTGAAAAATTATAACTTCAAAATTTGACTTTTTTTGACCTGAAAGTGACCTGACCTAAGCTAAATTCGACTCAAAATGACCTCGAATGACACAGACGACATCAAATTCGAAATCTTTGGCCTAAATGGACCATAAAACATGTGTCACGTGACCGACACATGATATAATATTTTCGTGACCTGTGATGACCTGACCTTGACCTGAAAATCAAAGTACAAGTTTGGTACCCTCAGGGTGTCTAGAGCATCTGTTCACGAGTGTGTGAACAAAAAATGAGCCTGATCTGACTTGTAAGACGGCGGCCAGAGCCCAAAAAGTGAACAAGCCAAAATGCTAATAATTTTTACTTTGACCTGACCTGTGACGTCATCGGTGACCTCGAGGTCAATGAAATTAGGTTTCGCTCGACAGTTTTTCCGGGGCTATCAGATGCCGTTTGAATTTTGACGATCGGCCCAGTAGTTTCGGAGTTAGGAGGGGGGGCTATGAATAGCCCCCCCCCCCCCCCCAGTAGGGCGTGTTATACGCAGACCCCAGTGGGGCGCGGGTTAAGCAGTTTGAGGAGCACCTAGCAGTTAATACTTTTCGGAAAAAATGGCATCATTGGACTCAGAAAAGAATACCGCACCACATGAGCCATGAGCCCATGTACTTTTCCAAAATTCGGGTTTTTTAACAACCCTAGAGTACACAGCACAGAGGAAGTGCCTGGAGGATGTATTGCACACGCATGCCAATTGGCCATCCATCCCTCTGAACGCCACCTGGTGTGGTGCTGTCATCGCCCCTGCCCGGTGGTACTATCCCCCCCCCCCGCCGACTCCCGTCCACCCGGTGGGCATGTGCCGGCGCCGCGGCTCACCATTTCTGCAGCAGGAAGTGGGCCATCTGCACCTGGTCGGCCGTGCCGGTGATGGTGACGATGCGCTCCACCTGGCCCTCCTTCACGTCGTCGATGTTGATCTGCGCCTGGCTGTCGGCGCGGATCTTGCGGATGCGCGCGCCGCCCTTACCGATGATGGCTCCGGCGGCCTGTCGGCAGCATCCCGAGGTCACAGACGGGTCACAGGGTCAGAGTCACAGACGGGTCACAGACGGGTCACAGACGGGTCACAGACGAGTCACATGACTACAGGGTCACAGACGGGCCACAGATATTTCAAATACTTGGAGCGTGCATACATGTTCCTATCTCGCAAGTCTTTTGTGTTGCTCTGTCGAGCATCGCAAGTCATCTAATGTGTTTGAACGTTGCGGACCTGTTATTTTGAGTCATGGCTCTCATTTTGTGTCAGACGGCACCGCCTTCGCGCTGCGGACAGCGTGCCGCCCCGGCCCCGGGACGGAGGCGAGGCCCACACTCACGCCCTTGGGCACGGAGAACTGCTGCGTCTGCAGCTCGGCGGCGGCGCCCAGGCCGCCGGCCGCCGCCGCCGCCGGCGAGCTGAAGTCCATGCCGCCCGGCGGGATCTGGCTCATCTGGCCGGCCACGCCGTAGCCCATGCCGGTCATGCCGGTGCCGGCGGCGTACCTGTCGGCCACACACGCCCGGTCACTCTGGTCACAGACAGGTCACACGGGAGGTCACACTACCGGACAGCTCAACGTGCCACCACACGATTCGCAGCCGAACACTGCAATTCATTCACCCGATGATTCAATTGAACTTCTCCGATAGATTGCCGAGTCTCCGAAAGTTAAGCGAGATTCTGGAAAAGTTGTGTCGCATGTTTCTCAAGGTATCTCAAGTGATTGAGATTTATTTTAGGATAACGGCTGCACCCAATAACGAGCACACAGACACCGGGCGGGCGCAGCTGGCGAATACACCATCTTCCTCTGTGGGGCCGTCCAGCAGGGGTCGGAGCCGACCGGCCCGCTTCCGGCTGCCGTCGCCGCCGCCCGACACACACAAATCATATCCACTTCACGGAGCACTATTCGGCATCCCCCGCAGACTCGAGATGTACTAATTGTTCGGTGGCTAGTTTCCAAGGTTGGTCCGTGAGCGGCGGGGGGTGTCGCCGTGTGGTCGGGCCGGCCGCACCTACCCTGGCCGGGCGGCGGCGGCGGCGGCCAGCCCGGTGGCGGTGGCGTACCCGCGAGACGCGGCCATGGCCGACATGGCGGCGGCGCGGCTGGCGGCCAGCGCGGCGCCGCGGCCCAGCGCCGCCTGCTGGGCCGCCGTCCGGCCGCGGCCGTCCGAGAACCCCCCGTACTCGGCCGCGTACACCTCGTCGTAGTTGACCGGGTCGTACGGGTTCACCAGGCCCTTGGGCGGGTTCTGCCAGAGGAGGGGGGGGGGGGGGGGGGGTTAGACTGCGCCTGAGGCTGAAATACGGCATCGTCACGGGATCGGCCCAGAACGCCGCTCACCACACAGTGGTGTAGAAACTCTGAATCCATCGCTGATGCAGTCCTCCCACAATATTCGAATAAAAGTGACAAGCGGGTTAACCCAACCCTGAACCATATCAAACAAACAAGAGCAAAATGCTTTTGGTGCACCAAAACATCTAAATATATCACCTATACAAGTACTGCACCAGAGCCTACATTCACCATCCAAGGTGGCGCTATACAATCACCACACCAGCAGACGACCCAGTGCCGCCGGCGGCCCGTAGCGCCGCGGCCGTGCCGCCGGGCCGGGCGACCCACCTCCTCCAGTAGGGTGAGGATGCGGCTCAGACAGTCGAGCACGTTGGTGCGCTGGCCAGAGATCTGCGTGACGCGGTCCGACGACTGCGGACACGGCTCCGTGTACACCTTGATCTGCGTGTTGGTGCCCTGCAGACACAAACACACACACACACACACACACACACACACACACACAGACGTCAGCAGTCAGAGCAGAGGCACGGCTGAACAGCGGAACGCACCGACTGTTAACGACAACACATAACTTCACAGAATCAACTAAGGTCTCGGTCAGATGGACCAATCACTTTATGGAACGCTACGCATTGGAGCGCCATTCTAGGTAGTAGTGGGTACTAAGATAATGTGATGCGACAACAGCGGCCTCGGAAACTGGCCGAGCTCCTGTGACCGCCGCGGTCGTTCCGCGCCTCCCGCGGCGGGACTATGCCAACACAACGGGCTAATAGTCGCCCGGTCACGCCATCACTCGGCATACGGGATCATTTGTCACCGATCGGAATGCCATCAATCCCGGGCGGACCGGCTGCCGGCGCGGCGGCCACGGCCCGGCGCGGCGGCAGCCGGTGAGGCGCCACCAGGAATCGATTTCCAACATCGTTAGAGCGGCCCCAACACGGCGGCGGCCGGGCATTAGTGCCGCTGACGAGGTGGTTCCCTGGCCAGGGTGCCGCCCCGCCCGCTGGGCTGGTCAGCCGGCGGGCCGCGCGACAGGAAGTGCGGCCTACCAGACCATACACGGGTCGAGGACTCCGTCCGACCGGAACCAGGTGCCCTAACTGGGGCCTGCCAGCACACAGAGCAGCCGGCAGTGCGACTGTGGACCACCCGCCCCACCCACGGGGACACGCCCAGTCTTTGCCGACGCCGCGACACGCGCTAATTAATGACGCGTCCAGGCAGAGGCGGCACCAAATCAATACGCCGTCCGGCCCGCCGCACTCGGCCCCGACCGGCTGGCGCCGGCACTCGGCCGGCGGACCCACCTCGCGCAGCTCCTTGATCTTGAAGCCGGAGCGGCCGATGATGCTTCCCGCCTGGCTGGTGTGCACCAGGATGCGGACCTCGCCGTCGGTCGCGTCTGGGTCGCGGCCCGGCACCTGTCGGGGCGGCCCGTCACCGGTCACAGCCGCAGGCCAAATGGCTCGCGCTCACAGGTCACGGCGAATGGCTAACGTACTTGTGCAGGCACATCCGGTAGATCTAAATGGCGTACATATGCACACAGGTAAGAACAAGCCACTACACTTGTCTATCATAACAAAACACTCTTCTCAATTAAAAACACCATCATATTGAACCCAGCGAAATTTTATACCCATCACGTTATTGGTAACAGTTTTACAACTAACAGCCACAAAACAGACGGCGCCTCATCGGCCTGTTTTACAGTAGCTACCGCCATGTCGCCACCCTCATCGCCATCTCCGACGGGACCGTCCGACAGCCATCTGGCCCGGCGTAACCTCCGGCCCCTCCTGCTGTCCCGGCGCGCCCTCCTGTCCCGGTGGCGCGCACTCACGTCATCCAGGTTGGGCAGCAGCTCCTCCACGATTTTGAGCGTGGTCTCGCGGTCGGCGCCAATGTTGACCACACTGCCGGCGGCGGGGCACGGCGGGGCACCGGTCAGCGGTCACACACGGGAGCGCAGGCAAACTCAGAGCCCGTCCGACGGCCCCACCACAGCAGTGGACACTACAGAAAAGCCGTGTCCGAAAGAGCACAACGGGCTCAGTGGCCCATGGGACAATTGAGAAATAAGCCAAGGCTACAATAATCATGGACGTAAGACTACTGTAATTACTGAACAAAACAATTACAAAACCTAACACCTGTTGAGTAGATTACTAGGAAATATGAAGGTACTGAGAGCAAGTAGACTGGGCGTACTACCAGAATCACAATTCGAAGAAATAACTGGCTTTTAAAGTCATATGAACCAAAAGACTAACGACATAGAGCACGGCAACACCATCAACGAAACGGTCCTTTCCCGGCTGGCAGCGCTGCAAGCACACCCCTTACTTAGCCACCGCGCTATGAACACCCACTTATCCCCGAGAGAGGCTCATTGCGACCGCCGGTAGCAAGCTCTCAGCCGCCAGCCTGCGACCATTAGGCGTTACGTTATCCCCGGGCCGGCGGTCGGCGCGCATGCTGCCTACTCTGGCCGGCCAGGGCGGCCGCCAGAACTGAGCCAGCCGGCGCTCCGAGCGAGCAGCCGTTAACGTTACACGAGTAGAGCGCTAGGCGACAGACGGACTGTCGGTTACCGTTCCGGGCCCAGTGTGTCGGGGACTGAAACTGTGGCACTGTGCTGTGTGGCCGGGGCGGTGGTGGTCACACGGCCGGGGCCAGGCCAGGGCAGGGCCCGGGACACCACCCCGCCGGGGGCCGGGGGCGGGCCGCAGCCATCAGGTGCAGCGGCGGGCGGCGCGGCGCGGGCGGCGGCCGACACGGGCGGGCCCAACCGGGTCGGGGGCGGGCACAGATGGGGAGAGAGAGAGAAAAAGCAGAGCGTTAGTGCCGGGCGGGGCTAGCAGCCGCCGCGCCGACAGGCAAACATCACACACGACGGCATTGCATCACACACACACAATGACAACCGATGGCAGTCACGGGCACCGACAATCGACGGCAGTCACCGGCGAGCATGACCAACAGGGCGCGCGACACGTCTCGGGCCGCAGAGGCGGCTCGGCAACTCGACAGCGCGCCACGTCTCCTCTGAACGCTACGTTACCACGAGCGGCGCGCGGTCGACAGACTAGATCAGCGCGGCGGCGTGGCGGGCGCGGCGGCCGATCTCACCTGCTCACGCAGCCGGTTAATGTTGGAGCCGCCCTTCCCGATCACAGATCCGGCAGCCTGTAACGAACGCACACAAACAGTCAGGGACAGAGACAGCGGGGCGGCCAGAGGTCCGCTCCACAGACAGCGCAGCGATCAGCGTCAACAGACCCCGGTCAGCGCTAGAGACAGCGGAGTGGCTAGCGGTCCGCTTCAGAGACAGCGCAGCGGTCAGCGTCAACAGACCCCGGTCAGTGCTAGAGACAGCGGAGTGGCTAGCGGTCCGCTTCAGAGACAGCGCAGCGGTCAGCGTCAACAGACCCCGGTCAGCGCTAGAGACAGCTAGAGGCTAGTGGTCCGCGCAACGGCGCGGCAGCAGGACGCCGCTAACAAATAGCAGTAGGTACGACGAGAAATGACACGTTGAAGCTACAAAAAAAAAAACATTGCTGGACCCTAAAATAATGTTAATCAGTAACGGTGAAAAACGAAACCCTTGCCATTTTAGAGAAAACTCTTGTCCTAAATTTGATCCATCCAGAGAACAGCACACAATCTACCAACCTAAGGCCATCCATCCATCGTGCCGCACACGCGGGAAGACGAGCGATGATAAGGGACACCACATCCCATCACCCTGCGCGCGGAGGCGGCGGGGCGGGGTGGCCACTGGGCGGGCCGGCAGAGCGACGAGCACGGCGAGAGACGACGCTCAGCCGTCCGGCCATCACGTGTCGCCGGCGACAAATGGCTCGGCCACCGGTCGCAGGGCAGCGCGGCGCGCCCAGCGCGGTCCGACGCCGCCGGTCGGCACCACCCCCAGGGAGGATGGGACGACCGAGAGCGGGGACGAGGGAGAGACGAACCCCGCTCAGAACACCCAGCAGTGTGAGCAGCAGCAGCAGCGCCGTCCCCCCCCCCCCCGGACGAACCTCTGGCAGTCCCGGCTCCGCAGACCGACAAACAGGGTGCGGCACCCCGCAACTAAGCAGGGATGGGCGGTCTACGGAACAAACGAACTGATAACGACCACCCAAAGCCGTCAGAAGGCGTCACGCTGCTCGGTAGAGCCCCATGACGACAGACGAGGAGTTTATTGAAAGTTACTAGCATTCTTGGCCGCTAGCCAGTTCCTTGTTCACGCTCCGTCTCATAGTTAAGTCTTGACAGACTCCCCGACGTCAGTGCGATTCCCTTCTCTTCCTCGTCACCGCTGAGGTGACGGCGGCGCCAGCCATTGTCGTTGACGAGGCATTTCCAGTCGTCTGCCAGGAGCCGGGGTCACAAAAGCAGCGATTTACACGCCCGGCGTCAGAGCAGTTTCAGACTGACACTGGCAGCTCGTGACGGCTGCAGACGACCCAGAAACACCAGATGGCAGCGCCGATCACCGTCCCGGCCTCCCAGTGGGGACCCGCGACGGATCATCGAAGAGTCGGCGGCGAGTCGCCGCTGGCAGCCGCCCAGCCGGCCTACCGCGTGCTGCCCCGCGGCGGCGACACGAGCGCTGCCCTGATGGACAGGGGCAGGGCTCGTCGGCCGGTGGCCGCAGTGCGCCGCCGAGTCCTCCCTCCCGCCAACCAGCGGTGGTGGACGACGCTCTCCGCGGCTGACTACAGCGCCCACATAGCGGACATCGTAGATAAGATGGTGCTTATAGGCGGTAGCGAGGCATCCAGCGATGAAAGAGCTCAAGTATGATTCTTCATCTTCGGTGTTACAATATGCAGTTAGCAAAAAAGCGAGCTTGAACTCTTTAGCTTAGCTCGATCAAGCGTTGCCCTAATCGACAGTCGGCAGTTGAAGAGTGCCCTCGGAAATCGCCTCAGAACCCGTCTCAGGAGTCTCCTCAGCGAAACGCCGGAAATTTCCCCAGGGCTCGGTCCGATCTTCCCAGAAACGCCACCACAAACCCCTCGAGATAGATCAGAGGCGCTCCATGACCAGTTCCCACCACGGTAGACCGCCACCAGAGAAATGTCGTGACCAGATTCTAACTCAGACAGGCAACGATCGCGATTCTCCATAGGTGTAACAGTCCCTTATCCAGCCATTTTTCTACGGCGTCAGCTGATCCTGAGACAGTCTGCAGCTCCGTTTCGCCTCTGCCAGCCCCTCTGGCGCGGCTCCCTCACTCGACTATCGATCGGCGTCTGATCTCCGGTCGCAGTCTCTGACTATTGTCTCCCGGCGGCCGGCACCGCCGCAGTCAGTCCTCGCCACTCCGCTCTCCCCAGAATTTCCGCGAAGCTCTCTGGGACGTGTCCTAATCAACTGATGTGTTTGTTTCACACTCTCATGTTTTACACTTCCCACTCTCCCTCTCTCTGAAGCGTCACCTCGCTTTCCCAGTGTCCTACCGGTCCCCTTTTGGGAGTCTGTTACGCCCGACCCGTCCCTTTGGGAGTCTGTTACGCCCGCCCTGTCCCCTTTGGGAGTCTGTTACGCCCGATCGGTCCCCTTTGGGAGTCTGTTGGGTCTCACCCGGCTGCTGATGAGGAGACGCAGCGACATGTCCTGCGGACGGTACCGCTTGGTTGTGCTCATGGTGCTGCCGTCCGACTCCAGGTTTCGCTTCATGCCTGCCAGATAGGAGGTGAGAGTCAGAGTCGTCGCAATCAATACGGCGGTGGCAGGGTCCCGCCGAGTCGCTGGGGGTCGGTGGGGGGAGAGAGGAGCGGGACGGGGTGCACTGACAGACCGAGCGGGAGCGGGACGGGGTGCACTGACAGACCGAGCGGGAGCGGGCAGGGACTGAACACGGCGCCATCCTCCGGGCCGGAGTAGTGCGCCAGTGCGGACAGCACACGCAGACTCGACAGGGACCGGGCGGCCGCCACAAGACCGGGTAGGTACCACTCGACTCATAAAGCTGGCGTCGGTGGGCTGTGAAACACGGTCTCACAGTCGAAACGCTGTGGCTCGAAAACAACTGAGGGGCTAGGGGCCACACGTGCATGTCACATTTCGCTTGAGCGTACCAAATCTCCAAAATTTGAGGTGTTTCCAATATTGCCACCGAGGCCCCCCACCTCGTACCGACACGCCATCCACCCAGCCACCACTCCCACCAGGACAGAGGGCACCCGGAGCGGCCCACGGCGGCGGCCGCCCAGACACCCACCACCAGTGCGCCTGGCGATGGCCGCTCGGTCACACACACACACACACACACGTCACTGGCGGCCGGCCCTGTCGGAGGACATCCCAGCCGCGCCGCCGGCGGTCACCGCCACTGGCCACTGCTGCCGCCGGCGGTCACCGCCACTGCCGGCGCCGCGGTCCGAGCGGCGCGCCGCGCGCCTACCGCTGACGTCGGCCGGCGCGGCGGAATCGATAGAGGCGCGCGGCTGTCGATATCGGCGCGCGACGCCCGCGGGGGAGCGGCCACCGCAGTCGACCGGCCCTGCAAGGACGCGCCGCACAGCTCCAGCAGGGAGCAACGGAGGGGCGCGCAGCCACAGCATGGGAGTAACGGGGGACGCGAAGCCACAGCACGGGAGCAATGGAGGGACGCACAGGCGGGGTCGTCGGTAGGAACGGAGAAAACACTGCAAGGGGATGAGCGCGACCACCAAAATTGGCTTTCCAAAGAGAAAAGAAAAAACACAACATTGGCATCGTTTCGCACTTAGAACTACACCAAGTTGCTAGGTGCACTATATACCAGTCAGGTCAGTCGCATATTTGGGTAGAAAATGACAAAACGCTTAAGAAACGAACGAGATCTTCAGTCACTGGGCTTTTGGAGTATAACCACCAGTAAAACGCCTTTTGGGCGAAGAACGAGCGAGCGAGATAGTGAGCCCTGCACGTGCGGAAGAGCGAGAGGGTGCTTCCAACGGGCTTGCGCAAAGCACCCTTCTAACTGGTCGCTAGCGGTGTACCAAATTTGAACGCAATCGGCCCAGCCGTTCCTGAGATCTGGAAGCGGCATTCTGCACGTGCGCACGTGCAAACGGGGTCTAAAATGACTTTTGCACGGCACCCTACTAACTGGTCCCCAACCGTGTACCAAATTTGAGCGCAATCGGCCCAGCCGTTCTCGAGATCTGGAAACGCCCCCTGCACGTGCGCACGTGCAGTAGCACCCTAACCGCAACACATGGGAATGCATTGCCTGGTGGGTGCCTACCTGTATGCCAAGTTTCAGCGAAATCGCCCCAGTAATTACCGAGTTACTGAAATGGGAACAAATTTGGCACCTCTTATTGTTGTATTTTGCACGTGCACTGGGGGTGACCCACATGCATCGAGAGTATCCTATTTTGGGTAGAAGGGATGCAGCTACCCTACAAAAATTACCGCAAGACAACCGCCCAAGCGGCTGCTGAGATATGGGCCTCTCAAAATCACTTCTTTTGCAAAACAGCTTGAACACCCTTGACTTTTCACGTGGCACGTGCCACGACGGTCATTGAGATGTATCAAAAGTAGTCAATTACGGGGTAGAAGGGATGGGGCTACCCAACAAAAAAGACCGCAGTCCAATCGGTCCAGCAGTTGCTGAGATATAAGCCTCTCAAAAGCGTTACAGGCCGGGCCGGGCCGCTCATACTGAGATTTCTCCGTTATATTGAAAAGACTCACTTCGCTCGCTGCGCTCGCTCGCTCGTAATAACCAATCGGATTCCAGAGGGCAGAGTACACTTCGTTTAAAGGGACCCTCCCACCTTCAAAAAGTTAATGAATTGGCATAAAAGTGATGTCGCTCGGTTCAGAAAGAGCAAAAACAAATATCTACCAAATTTCATCGAAAAATATTCACCGGTTTTCAAGATATTAGACTTTTACTTTTGTTTACTTTTTGGGATCTCCGCTGTTCCTGGCGACTTTATTTGAAAGTGCGGCATTTGTTGCGCGCAAAGCAGCATATACCATCGCGTGCTACAAAACGTTTTAGTCAAACATTTAAAAATCGTTAGATATCTGCGCTGACGTCACACATTCAGAGGGGTATTCCTATGCATTAGCCCCTCTGAATCAAAATGCTGCAATTTTGAAATTCAATATTTCCGATTTAAGGCATTTCTCGATGTTGTGAGTGCCGAAACCGGTAATTGTGAGCCAGGGACCCCATTTTGGCTATCTCAACTCAAATCTAATGTTAAGGTGGGAGGGTCCCTTTAATTATGTGCAAGGTTCTTCTGTTCTCCAGTTTCTAAAAAAAGGATACGCATATAGCGAGATAAAAATGAATCAAAACTTTAAACCAGCCATCGGTCACTCCAAGAACGAAATAAATTTAACGGACAGTCGCAATGTGACAGACTACAATAAACACTAGCGTCCCATATTTTCGCACCTTCCGCGACATTTTTGTGTTGACTGGCTGCATCTGAGAGCAGGCGGGTTATTTTGATTAGCGTCTGTGCCAAGAGCTGCTGGGAGACGACACAAAAACTGACGGCCTGGTGTGACTACAGCACGTGCGTGTCAGCCCAGCGCGCGACCAGAAACTATCGAACAGCCACGGGGCGTATACAGCGGGGACGAGACGAGACGAGACGAGACGAGACGGCAGACGAACGAATCAGACGGAAAGGACCGCAGACAGCAGTGCAAAACGACCCGGGACTGGACGGGATAATAACATCACAACGGATGGGAGCCGACACCAGGACACAATCGTCTCGATTCGTCTCCGTCAGCGGGACAGAGGCACCAGCGTCTGGGAGTGCGTCTGACCGGCGCGGCGGAGCCTACCTCCGGGAGCTGGCCGATGGCGGGACGGGCCCGGGCCGCAGTGCGGCCGCCGCCCCAGCACCGGTCGCAGGCACTGTGGCCGCCGCGTCGGACGGCAACAAGTCGACAAACACGGCGCCGGATCGACCGCGTCGTGGCCGGCCGCCATTGGGCCACCGGCCCACGCCGTGTCCATGTTTGCGTGTTGAAACGGTTGCCATGGTGATAGCCACCAGTCATGAAGCACGGGCGTGCGGCCGATTTCTGCCCGGCTCGTCCTCGCGACGGCGCCAGCCGCGGAGACGGAGAGACAGGAGCGCCTGGCCACCTCCGCGCCACCGCCGGCGGACCGGGCTGCCGCCGCCCAGCCGGACTGATTGACATTCCGGCCGGTCCCGCTCCGCTCTGGGCCGTAAGCCGGCGTCGCGCGACACAGCCACCATTTCCTGATTAAACCGGCGAACTTGGAGAGGAACACGACCGCGTCGCATCCGGGCGGCGGCCAGCCTTGAGGAGCAACGCGTCAGACACTGCTCCGATGCTCTCCCTCCTCTCTCCTCTATCTTATGTGACCGTCTCGTCGAGTTTAGTTCATCTCTGCCAGCTGTCCTCACTTCCCAATGAGCCAGGACCGTTGGAGACTGGAGTGCCTGGACGGCCACTGTACCGCATCACACACGTGTCCTGCGGAACAGTCTACCACTACAGGCATAGTGTACCGCCCGCGGCCAACGAGAGCACCGAGCACCGAGTAGTGAGCAGTCAACGGAATCCGGAATGCCGTTAGCTAACCACAGTAAATGAATGTTGAATATGGCACAGAAAACAAATTGCGAAAAATAATATTGAATCTTGAGCAAGCCTCGCCAGTGGCGTACCGCGGGGCCGGCGCCGTTGTCGGGCCGTCACGTCGCTCGTTTCACGGTCCGTTCCACTGGCTCGGGGCGGGTGGCGGGGTGGGACGGCCGGAGCAGGGGCACCTCCGCCGGCTCCGGGACACGTGTCGTGCGCGGCGGACAGTCGCGGTGGCCGCTCCCAGTGCTCCTGTCGAGGGAGAGTCGTACCATCCACCCCAGTGCAGTGGTCCCCGGGGCTCAGCAGGGTGTCCGGAGCGGGGGTGACGCCGCCGAGGAGCGGACATTGCCGGGCCAACAGCAGCCACGGACGAGCGACGACCGCCACGCCGGACGCAAATAGCCGTCGGGCCGCGTCTCTCGCCAGTGCATCAGCGCCCCAACGACGCGTCACCGCGCCCGGCAGACGAGCCGACTGACAGACGGACAGCCCAATGAACCCACCGAACGACCGAGTGAGGACCTTCCCCGTCCCCAGAGTAGGCCGCGTCATCTCAGATGGCTGCTGTCGGGTCAGAGAGGAATCCGACATCACCATTTATTTTCATCTCCACGGCCCACCATTTATTTCATATGTATAGAAGCGTTAACGTCACGTCCTGGATACACGATCATGCCAGCCGCCCACGCACGGCTAGGGAAGAAACAAACCAGAATGCGGCAGACGCGCTGTGGGTGCGGAGAATCATCGGGATGCCGACTGAGGATGGGACAGGCAAGACAGATGACTACCATCGCTCACCCATGGGCATCTGCAAAAACAAACAGCACACGCCAGAACACAGGGGCGAAAATCAGCGCGGAACCCAACCAAACAAAAACACGCCAGTAAACTCCACTTCCGACGGCCGGCCGGTGCAAAAAGCGGCCACAATCAGCCGATTTGGCGAGCTCCGAGAGGCGACGGATCGGGTTCGGCGCCCGGCCGGCGCGCCCGGCTCGGGGAGCGCGCCCGGCGGAAAACCGCGGCTGCCAGTGGCGCTGATACATGACCAGCGCCTGCCGCCCTCGCCTCACGCACGCACACAGACACAAGCCTCTCC